TTTCATTAATTTTTATATTATTTATCTGTGTATTAATGCAGATTCTATTAATGTATAGAATATTTTAGAATTATAAATTTGAAAAGAAAGCATTATCCAATGTAAATACTAGACGGGTACATCTGCTCGATCTCTTCAAATGCTTCTCATGGATGGGCTGGGATCTTGGCTGGTCGTGACGTAATTAAACAAGGAGTTGGGTGGTTAGTTGGAAATGGGAGAAATATCAGGGTCTGGGAGGATGCGTGGCTCTCTTCATCGACCCCGATTCAACCTTATGGCCCATCGCCTTTGAATGCAAGTAACCTCATGGTGGAGGATTTGATTCACACAAGCACTAACACCTGGAATCTTGAAGCAATCCGTCGCTACTTACCTCATTATGAGGATATTATTACAAGAATCGAACTCAGTTCCTTCCCTATGGATGATTCGATGGTTTGGTTACCTGTAAAATCAGAGAGTTATACAACAAAATCAGGCTATGCCATTACCAAAATTAACAAAGAGCCGAGTCTGGTGGAACTCTTTGATTGGAAAATCTGTGTGTGGAGAGTTAAAACTGCCCCTAAACTGAAGATTTTTCTTTGGAAACTCAAGAATAAAGCTCTGGCAGTGGGGAGTAATCTAATGAGCCGAGGCATTACGAATGTTAATCGATGTAAGCATTGTGGAGCTATGGAAGATGAATTGCATATTGTCTTGTTTTGTCCCTTTGCAGCTAAGGTTTGGGAGCTGGCTCCGATACTTTTCAAACCAGATAGCGATGAGCCGCTTACAATCAACCAATTCCTAGAGTCATCTCGTCGCCACATCAATCTTCCTCCAACAGGTCCGACCGACGTTCCCCTATTCCCATGCCTGATATGGAATTTGTGGAAGGCTCGAAATCAGCTCTGTTTTGAGAATTACCGTATCTCAGAGAAGGAGGTGATGCTACGGTCGATTAAGGAAGCTCGAGCTTTGCAAGAGGCGTAACTACCTGTGGTGAAGCCAAAGACCAATCAAGCGGGCTCTCGGCCTCTGGCTCTACCTTCTCAAGCCATACACTGCTTTACCGATGCCTCATGGTTTTCGGAATCAAGAGAATGCGGTTTGGGATGGTGTTTTAAGGATGCTAGCTTGAAGGTAATAGCTCAAGACTCAATATCCAGGGCAAATGTAGCTTTGTCTCTGATCGCAGAGGCCCTAGCATTGAAAGTTGCCTTAATTGCAGCTAGAACAGTGGATTTTCGAGACATCAATTGTTTCTCGGATTCTCTCTCGTTGATTACGCTCATCAACTCCGATGGTGTGATAAACGAGTTGAAATCTATCCTCCACGACATTCGTTGTCTTAGGAATGATTTCACCTCTATCTTTTTTTATTTTTATTCTTCGCTCGGAAAATGTTTTAGCCTATACGCTTGCAAAACTTGGTATTGTATCGTTGAACCTTTCCTCCTAGTGTGGAGTTATTATGGTAATACTAATAGGTTTGATAAAAAAAAAAAGACAGGGTACATCTTGGATAGACTAAAAAGTAGAGAAAACACTAGTATCATCTTAACCGGTGATTGTGCCAATCAAATTGAACCGGTCCTTTTCTGATTCATTCATTTTGTGCTTCTCTTTAGGTCTACTCAAACTCCACAATTCACACTTTCTCGACTCACTCGTTTTTTTACAGAGGGAAAGAAAAGCAAAATCAGGCGAAACAAAAAATGTTTTTGAGATCGAGATCTTCTTCTTCATCTGTTGTTGCTGCTAGATTGATCAGTACGAGGCTGATTCATCGCCGCGTCGCCAAGAAAGGTACGATTAGAAAGAGTGTAGCTTCCTCGAGGAGCGAAGTAGCTTTTGAAGGAGAGGAATTGAAATTGASAAGTGGGTTTYATTACATCAATAGCTTARATGATGCGATTGCTTTGTTCGACGAAATGGTTTACTCTCGCCCCTTACCTTCAGTGATTGATTTCTGTAAATTGATGGGTGTGGTCTTGAAAATGAATCGACCAGATCTTGTGATTTCTCTCCATCAGAAGATGGAAATGCGGCAGATTCCATGTAACATCTACAGCTTCTCTATTCTCATAAAATGTTT